CTTTGATGTTACCCCAGTAGTTGAACTATGGCTTAACAGCAAGGTTAGGAGACCTAACCAGAACAAAAGGAAGAAGTACAAGCAAAGAAAACAGAAATCAAAGAAATATTATGATAATGATAATTACACCAATCTCTTTTCTTTAATTGACAATACTGATAGTAGTAGCACAGAAGAATCAGATGATGTGATTGATGTCTCTGTTGAAGACATGGACTGAGATTCTTTGAGCACTATAGTTACTAGTATTTGGAGACTTGTGATATATGTGGATAATGGGATTATGGGTATTCAATATCACAATATGTGCCATGGCCCATTACAAGGCCCATTACATTATCAGGGACACATAACATATTGACATTATATATACATTCATCAAGTATGAGGTATTATACCGGGTGTCCCAAAAAAAAGTACTCCGGTTTGATTCGTAATAATTTCTAAACAAGTAAAGCTTTTAAAGAGAAATAACTTGCATCAATTAGAGGAAGGACTAACTTGGATTATGATATATTGCAGCTGTATTTCACTTAAAAATTCACGGAGATATTAATGTTTAAAATCGGGAGCATATTTCTGGATGTGCCTGAAATATCCAAAAAACGGCGTATCAAATATTAATCAAGATTTGCCCGACTGAAACATGCACTATTACAAGTAAATAAATGACACTTGACAAATTGTTTATTATGAAACAAAGTATTATTATCTACAAAATACAAGCAAGATTTATTCGTCCGAAATCTGCGTGTGTTCCTAGCACGAATACGTTTCCTTATTTCATGAGACCACTGCATCGCGAAGGATCGTCATATATGGATCGTTTGTAGTTCTGAATTAGGGCATGCTGTCACAATGGAATTGTGAAGCTCTTCTAACTTCTGCACCGTTCTGAAATCTTGTTAAGAACACCCAAACTCTTTTGCCTTTTCGTAGTCTTGGCAAGTTCAGAATAAACCGAGAATGAAACACAATCAAACCATACAACTCTATAACAAGACATAACAAGCAACCCCCCCCAGAGACATCCAACATTTTTGGAACAAAACGTAACAAAATAGTAGCGTTGATACTGTGATGTGTATTTGCAAAAAGCAATATTATTTCCTTCATTAAAGAATAATATTCATCCTGCTCTAACCGAGAAATAATCAACTCTGTTTTGAACCCATAAAAAAACATAAAAAAATTAGGTTATTTAAGAAAAATTTAAGCGCCTGCCTTGCATGGTCTTTTAATCTTTCATGTACCTTGAAGACCTATTAAATACTTGCATAATTTCGAACGTTCATATTTCAGGAAACAATGAGCTAAGACTTACATGTAAGATGTCTAAATCTATGCCATATCCCTTACAAACTCTAACAACAATTCGCTGAAATACAAGTTAGCCGGATATTTCATTAAGCAAACAAACGCCGGAGTTAATATTTAATATGCCGATTTTCGCTAATTTTAGACACATCCTAAAATATGCTCCCGATTTTGAACATTAATATCTCCGTGAATTTTTAAGTAAAATACAACTGTAGTGTATCAAAATCTAAGTTGATCCTTCCTCTAATTAATGCCAGTTATTTCTGTTTGATAGCTTTACTTGTTTAGAAGTGATTATAAATCAAACCGGAGTACTTTTTTTTGGGACACCCGGTACATTTATGTTCTAATTTTTGTTTCTTTCATTGGCATATTCACAGTAAAATAATAAAATATACTTTAAACAAATTAAGGGTCATCATGTGATAATATATCAAAATTACAGTGATTGTATATTAATAATTTAATATATTATAGTATATCATTGTAATTTTTTTATGTCAGGGACAAAATGTCCAGTGTCAGGCACCAACCAGTTAGTGCCTGACAAAATGTCAGGCACTCTTGGATATTTATTTTCAGGCTTGCTTTCATCCTTAGATGCAGGTCAACTATTAAGAACTGCATTTCTGTATATGTGTGCTGCCCCATCAAGTAAATTAACGGATGCCTGCTATTCTACAGTAAAGTTAGCTTGGCACTTACCGGTGTCCGCATGTTAGAAAATGTGTGTTTCGCATTGTAATAGCGCTCGTTTTTTTTTAGGCGAACTTCCAGCAGCAAAATCATTGATTGTCTTCAAAAGGAACGACCAGAGCTATTACGTCTTACAACAAATTTTAGAAACTTGCTTTCCCAAAGTTCCTCAATCGACTGTGAGGCGTTGGTTGTAAAACATTGGAACATCTGCCATCAGAACAAATTGCTACTAAATTTTGCTTGCTACTAAATTTTTAAGGGAAGCATCAGCTTTCTGATTCTTAGAATATATAGTATCATGGATAATAAAAGAAATGCATAGGAAACTAGCTGACGTGACCTAATGTTTTCAATGGGCTGATGGCGTTGCAAACCAAATTCTCAAAAACGGCATGTTTAGCAATAATACAGATAAACATTTTAGTCAGAGAGCAAATAAATATAACTACGCCATTCTATGATGAAATCTCTAAGTATTTCCAGTCAATTTTAGCAAATATTTCAAGTACGAAACAGTGAAAAATGCGTCGCAAACTTCGTTAAAATTGGCGACGCCAATTTCGTAGCTACAAATGTAAAAAAATACAAAACAAAAAACATTTGCCTTGAATACTTTGTCGTGGCTTAGGCATGTTTTTAAAACAATTAGACCAGCTTATGCTTCAATAATGCTCTTTTAAGGCGGAAAATATAGCGAAACAACAAAAATGCTGAGAACTTTGGCAATGCGCGTAACGTCACAGATTGCAACTAGGTTTAGACTGTGATGTCAGGAAGTTTCCTATCCAGTTATTTTACAGTCCATGATAGTATATATCTTATTCAAACTATTTAATTTTTTTATATACAGCATGCGGGGTTTTACTGCATGTATACAACCGCGGTGGACGAGGATGCGATGAACTGAAATCTGCAAAATAGTGATTATAAATCTTTTTAGTTAATGATAGTTGACATTATGTAATATTGAGTAATACTTGTTTTCTTATTAATGCATTGAGTCATTATTATCACAGTCAATCGTACCTTATATTGATACTACTGTGGCGTCCAGAAAACTCTTCTTCGCCCTTCTCTGTGAACCTGCTCGCGGTGCTGCATCCTGCACAAGTAAGGAGCTGAAATAAAATCGTAATAACTATGAAATAAAGCATAAAACATACTCGGAATAGAACGCTTCCATCATCTTTAAGTTGCTGAGTTTGTTTTATGCTTTATTTCATGAAGTTATCGGCTGGCTGGAAAAGATTTTAGAAAAACACCATCCATCCTCTGTGTTTTACAGTACATACCTTGGAAAGGCCTTTCATCCTTTTCCAGGCCCCATGCACCGCTAAGGTGTTCTTGCGAAGTTTGTAGCACTGCGATTAAGTACTATACTAAGTGTGCTTTTTTACCTCCTGCGTGTCATAACCAACAATTCTGTATCTATGTCGTGTGCCGGGCAGTTGTTCACACCTGCCAGTCTTACGTTCGATGTTTTGCCAGAGCAAAGTAGACAGCGCTTCATCCACTTCGACATCGCCGTCGTCCAGCCAACCTCTTGTGCGAAGTATCGTCACTTCGCGTAAACCATCTCCATTTCCGATGGCCAGCTCAGGAAACAATGTCTCCAGACGCAAGCTGCACCTTAAAAAATAGTGCCATATTAGGTATTAAAAGCAAGATATGGATTGATCTTATATGTGTGTGAAAACTTACTTGCGCATCTGTGCCTGAGCTGCATGTTTTCCTGCACAAACGGACAATGTCTTTCAATCCGCCAGGACGAGACGCTGCAGCATAGCCGATGTCCAGCAATTCTAAACATGGCATGGTAAACACGCCCCAGAGCAGCAAGACGTTGTTTGCCAGCGAAGCAAAACGCCGGTTCCATTGTTCGTCTTCGCGATTTTCTGCCGTCTGCTCCGTTATCCATCTGGACATGTGGAGACGCCTTTGGTGAGCAATATGATGATGGCACTGCTTGGCGAGGTTCAGGTGGATAAGAAAGGCTTGTGAACCTGGATTGAGGGCGGCCATTTCCGACATGGACCAGAGGTGCCTGACGAGATCTTGTTCAAGGCCTTCGGCGCGAGGAGGTAGAACCAGCTGCATTTTAGACAATGTAAGTTGTTCCATTGTTCTAAAACATAAGCGCGGTTCTACCTCCTGCACCAAGTCATTTCTGTGACCACATCGTTGACGACCATCTCCTCTCCGTCCAAATTGCCTTCCTCCTCTTTGCAGGTTGTACGGCGGTCTTCCTCCACCACCATCACCATCACCGCCACCATCACCACCATCTCCACCACCCTGTTCTGCACCACCCTGTTCTGCAGCCGCCGCTCTTTCTGCGCTCTCTCTGTCCAATGTCCTGGACTTGTAATGACATGATGGGATTCTTGTCAGAGTCGAGCGACGTGACAAGAAACCCAACACCTGTGTACAAAGAAAGCGTGTTTCTGTTGCAGAAGCCAGCAACAGCCACAACATCCAATCATCAAAACGACTGCAGAAACACTCCAACAAACCAACCAGCCCAAAGCAACCAACCCCCCTACCCCTAAACTCGCTAGCCCTCACCAAATAATCCAGACACCATTGTTGTTCCTTCTGCCTGTAGGCGTCAGTTCTTCGCCAATTGAGCCCCATTGGCCTCCTGACATTTGCCCTGTATGCGCTTGCAGAGGCGATAGCCAAGGCTATCGGTTTTTCTGCATGGTTCTCCTTGTGCAACATGCAGCACCCGATGTAAATATTGTTGTCCCAGTTATGCTCCAGCTCATTTACGTACTGCCTGTAAGTTCCCATGTCCAGGCGGCTGGCAATAGCATCTTCCCTATTTAATAAGCTTTTGATTCGCTCAAGATGGATTGCAACGTACCTGCGGTTGAGTAATTTTATTGAAAATGGAGAACGCCGCTCAATAACCGCTTTGAAAGTTTCCATGTTTTTGCCATTGTTTTAAAATTACAAACGTTATATATTTTTGAATTTTGAATTACATTTGATACATTTAAATTACGTGTAACGGTCGTTTATATAACTAATTATATTAATTTCAATTAAGGTTTAAATATACAAAGTTTATGTACAAAATTATTACAGTAAAACGACATCATTTTTAATACTACTGCGCAGTTCATTTACTAAGAAGATGATTAAAAAAGTTAATAATTCATTAAGGACACCACGTCGGTGACGGTTGTTTTATATGATGAAAAATTTATGTTTATTTTTACATAAACTCGAGCTTTGATTTTCACGGAATATGCAACATTTATAGTTAAAATTAGTTTGCCAATAAACTCATATCAGATGGATCGATAGTGGTATTTAATAAAGCATCAGTCAAAGCATTTGAAACCCTGCTATTTTAAAGTTATGTATTTCAAAACTTCAGAGAACTTATAAACTGACACAGACAATACTTTTTATAAACGAGCCGTTTTTAATAAGGAAGTTTGCTTTGAAATATTAAAAATGTACAAAATTATATAGCAGTCGCTTTATTTTATTGTAGGTTCTGAGGATTTTTGAATAAATGGCAAGTTAGAAAAATGGGCGAAGAAAAAAAGGTTATTCAAAAATCCTCAAACACAAACTGAATAAAGCGACGGTTTAATGAATATTGGAAGTGGTATCGAAATATAATACCATCGATTACGGTTTGTTCGGACGATTCCGACCGCCTTCGAGATAAGATTGGAATATGACGGAATCGAGCTCCAAAACAACATGCATTGATAATCACAAATGGGAAGCATTGATAATCACAAATGTTTCCACAACAATATTTCCTTGTGTAATGGACTAAGCCCTGAACAAAGACTTTATTAATCCTATTGTAATATATATATATAAATTCGTAAAATGTTATGCTATAAAAGATGCTGTATATGTGTACTTGTTGTTGTTGTGAAAATATATGTAGAACCTAACGAAACGTTTGATCGCTTGTCGTATTGAGAGCGAATTTATAACATTGGCGACCCCGCCAGGATTACACAGAGTTGTTTGGCAAACAACTTCGACGGTATTGACAAATATGCCAACGGAAACCAGAGCGAGAGCTGCTATGAAAGAACCGCTCGAGCGAAATGATGAAAATTTGGAAATTCAAGACGATGGGCAAAATGTCTTGTCTGCAGATCAACTTGGTCATCAAGATATATTGTTGCAAGAATTACTTGAAGCCAGTAGGTGGCAAAGTCATCACGTCTGGGAGATAGCTATTTTCAGCGAGAGATTTTGAATACAGTTGATGAGCAACAGGTTTTGATGATTGATTATAAAGAGATACATGACCGACAGTTGTTCGAATTAACTGGCAAATTGAAGTGATTACCTCTGGATTTCTCTCGGTTGTGTGACGAGAATAATGAACATGAACAAACAGTCTTTGATTTACATGCAAAAATTGGACAGCTGGTAACCACAAACAAGTTAAACCAAGAGCGGTTAGTCGCTGTTCACGCTGGTATGCTAGCCTCCAGCCAAGAAATAATCAAGACAGAGTTGCGTGGCAAATTTTCGACGGCCTTCGAAAAATTCCGTACTGAAATTCTACATGAAAAGAAATCTACGCGAGAACGACTGGAAAGACCTGAAATAAAACGGGAGATTTCAACAAGTGATAGCAAAACTCAAGCTACAATTGCCTTTAGAAGCCCCGAACACGAATGCACGGTGGATACGATGAAAGCACCCTTCACTTTCCAACCTTAATGCTTGTTCCGCGAGGTTATCGCTTGCATTGACAACGTCCTGGTGGAATTCCTCCTCGGCGTCTTCGTAGATTTCCTCTGCGTTCTCTTCCAGAGAGAATTTCTTGTCCATCGTATATGAAATGACGAGGAGTCTTGCCACTTGCGTTACTCTTCTCTAAGTTATTTCTGATCTTCTTGAAATTGTGCTGGGCAAATGGATAACATATATAGGCAAGTCATTTACTGAATTACATGTCAAAATTACTATTGTATTTGGTGGTTTTCATGCATTTTCTTTATTGGTATCAAATATTAACCGATAAGGAAAACATCATGAAGACCAACAATGGGTATATGCCACCTTTTCGCTACAGTACTCACAGAAGGATCCATCATGAACGAGTGTGGTTCACCACTATATGGATTCATTGTAGTGAACATTGAAGCTATAGCATCTTCTTCACTTTCAAAAAGTAAAGCTATAAATGCTCTATTTGCTTGGGTACCATCACAAATTGCCATGTTAACATAGAACTTAATTTCTTGCAAACTTTTGACCATTTCCCAGTATGTATGAAAAAGTGTGACTGGACAACTTGTGCAGTTGGGTAGTATGCAAAAGGAAATTCAAATCCTTCACAACCAACAAAAGAAAATTGCAAGTTGCCATTTCAGCCTTGGGTTCCTTACCTAACAATTATATAAAATTGTAACATATATTTGAGTCACATGATAAATTATCACTTGTTTGAAGCATATTTAGGACGAACATGCATTAAAGGGTTAGGATAATTCTTTTGCAAGGCCATGGGAATGTCAACACTAAAACTATAATTTATAATTATTACTCCACTGACATTTGTGTATCACTGATGGTATTTTTTGATTTATCCTTCCAATAATGACAAGACCACACAATTCAAATGTGTCACCCATCTTGCAAAGCTGCAAGTCTCCCTAAGATTGAAATGTAACATAACATAGCATTAATATTTCACATCTTATACAGTAACATAATCTTAACCCATTGAGTGGCAGCACTATCCCCTTGACAAGTAGAATCGTCTGGCATTAGACATCTGAGGAAAATAACAAAGGGCATATCAGAATGCATTGTCACCTAAAGTGTTAAAGTATTGTATCTATATGTAACAGACTTGCTAGGCTTTTCCCAAGTCTGTGCTATAACCACCCTTATCAAGAATTATAAAGAGGCCAATTGAGGCACCCTTATCAAGAATTATAAAGAGGCCAAGTAAGGGGATATAGCAAAGTTTACATGTTTTTCCCCCATCAAAGAACCAATAAGGTCCTCATCAGTTTATACCAGAGTCTTTAGCAGCACAAAGTTATGCCACCATACACAGTGTCAATATACTGTCCCAAGAGTTTTCAGTTTACAAGAACACAAATTGAACTCAACTAGTTTGTTTAGTTTTAGAATTATACATATTTTTGTGACCTGTATAGCCATTTCATCAAACACTGCATATCGATGCCACACTGACACATTCCTTTTGAGCTTGAGTTGCCATCCAATGGAAGTGATCTTTACAAATGCCAGGCTTTTGTTTGTGTCACTTTGTTTTTTATACTCCTTAAATACCTGCCTTTACATTAATAATATAGATATATTATGTAAAATGTATTACCTAAATCATACAACAGTATTTATTCAATATCAAAATCCATTCCATACATATGTTTTAATACCTGAAGGAAGCTTAATGTATCCAGTATCTCAAAACTCGTTATATCCCAAATTTCAAGAAACCTATATGTAGGTAAATCCAGCTTTTAATATTTTAGTATACTGTTAGCATTCTGTCGAACTGACAGAGCGGTTCTTGACTTCAACCTGTCTTGTGTAATTAATACAGGATTTATCGGGCTGTACTACAATTGGGCCATTTAAATAACCAACCTTGGATGTCAACATGTTTTTCCAGACTGGATATATTCTCTCTGCATTGATCAGAAAAATGCATCATCCTCTAAAGTGTCATCCGAATCACAGTTAATAGATGATTGTTGTTGTTTTTCATTCATTTCATCATCCAGTTGTCTGAACATAACATTTAAGTCATCACTATCACCTCAGCATCTTCTTTTCTTCTTCAGATTTCCTTTTAGCATATTTCTCACGCCTCTCTGCATTAATTCTTCTTCTTTGTTGATCTACAATCTTGGCCACAAAGCATATGACGATGATGCATTTTTGTGCATTTTTCAAGCCTCCCCCCTTACCCCCATTCAATGTTGCCGTTTCGTCTACTTTTATGGTCAGAAATATTGTACAGATAAAATTCTACATGCACTTGAATTGCGGGAAACCAACATTGAATGGGGGGAGCGGGGGGAGGTGCAATATGATTTTAAAACCCAAGTATATTAAAAAGTTGCGAATTTGTTTGGTCGTTCTACAAACTTTTGGCCAAGATTGTAGGTACCTTTGCTTTTGGTCATGGTCACTCAAGAACCTCCAGTTTAATGTACTCAAGCTTCTGCTGCAGACAGTGTCTTTTCCACTTTGTTCTGTACAATTGTTATACTTATACAATGAATTACACAAAACTTTGTTCAATTTTGCACATGGTTGGCATCTAATATGTTTGATCTTTAGTAATTATATATTGACAATCAACCGAGCATCTTATTTGAAATGTTTGCAAATTACTGTTAGTAAGTGACTCTAATTTTCCTGCTACATTCCCATTCATGTCAACACTTGGCTTTAAAAGGCTGTTAAAATTCTGGTTGTCACACCCAGAACATAACTCAAATTGCTGTCCAATGGTGTTTAGGAGGGTCTTTAAGTCGTCATTACTTGCAAGTTTAGCAGGAGGTCCGCCACAAATGTTTGTGAAAACCTCAGACATTATACTAGTCCCATGAACTTGTACTTGCCAAGATAAGTCTGTGTTGATAGTAACACTTCTGGCAACTTGTATCCCATTAATACAATCCTTATCAAAGTACATAAATTTTATACTTTCAGCTGTAGTTTCAACCAACAACCAATTAACAAAATGCATTACAGAATTGTGTACATCATCGAAATATTTACTAAATTTGTAGTATATGTATGAAGCAGATTTGTTGAATTTTGTTTATTGTTGTCTATTGACTTCTTTTCGGGTGTCTTGTTGACTTCCAGATTTGAATAATATGCTACAAAAATATATGTGGAACAATCATTCACTTAATATTACATTGCAAAAAAGTATTGGGCTTTGTAAACTTCCAAGTCTGTTCGGTATTTAATAGATCTGCAAAGGCCTTCGGTAAAGTTTAGCCCCCACATTTGTCAAATGCCAGTCTTCACTCACTTGCATCTTAAGGATGGAAATAGATCATGTCGCAGTGTTGCAAAAAGCAGATATGATATCGGGTTCCTTTTGTGTAAAATGCACAATTTTGTATAAGCAGCATAAGCATCCAACAGCGATAAGCCTTCACTTTTTTTGTTTAAAATGATGCATTTACAAGTTATTTCAGCATCGCTGAAAATAAAAGAAAAGTCTTTATGATCACATTCGATCTTCTATAAAACAAGATTTGTTCAGGCGTATTGCAAACAGCTGTTAAACTTACATACTAAAGTTCTCCTTTCCATAAAACACTGTTGTCTTGTTGCGGATTCATACTTGCGCGCTTTAGAATTTAAATAACCCTCCAAAATTTGTTTGATATTAGATAAAATATTTTGGGGACATGTTTGTGCCCTATAAGGAAGTTGGGGGGACACGCTTGTGCCATATATGGAAGCATGGTTTCCTCGCGCTTCGAACAATGAAATAATTGGATGATCCAACTCTCCTATTATTAGTGAAAATCACCGACGCGACATCAGGCGTGACGTAATATTTCGAGTGAAACCGCGATAGCTTGGGTTCTAATGTAAATAAATATGGCGGATTTTGAAAATATACAGCTCTGGTACGTATTTACATATAAATATGTAAATGTTTTGTGGATTTAAAAGCTATATCAACAAAGATATTGAACAGTTAAGGTGCCGTACACTTTATTTTAACTGCTATTTAAATAGAATATTATTGTTGTCAAATTGCATTGCCCCTAAAGCCTGTGGAGAAATTGAAAATTTGGCACTGCATTTGCACCGACAAATTGAAAATTTGGCACTGCATTTGCAGTGACAAAAGTTGACAATTTGGCACTGCATTTGCACGACAAGTTGACAATTTGGCACTGCATTTGCAGCGACAGGTTGGCACAGTGTTTACAGAGGTTTGTCAAAGACGAGGTGTAAGTGATTTCAGGCAACAATTTCGAGTTTGACAGAGCTATTTCAGGAAATTGCAGTGATAACAAGTTCACACCAAACCTATCGCAATTGATCACCTGTATCTATCACCAAGTACTCATTTTGATAACTATATAAAGCAATAGATATTGGTACTTACACATCAGGTGGTTACAAAAAAAATGTATACAATAACACAGTTTTTGCAGTTTGTATTTGGAATAAATAGCTAAATATTAGATATTTGAAATAAATAGCTAAATATTAGACTATTGCTTAGGTAACCGTAATTGAATATGTATATATAGTAAGCTAAGGATGCAGTTTATTACATCATCATAGTAACAGAGTTTACTTGATTTATTGTTTTAGTCTCTGAGAAATTAATCTCGCCTTTATGGCAGATTTTTCAAGAACAACACATTTTATATCCTTTGACAGACAAGGCACTGTGCAAGAGGCGACACCACTACATGCATCCATCACATGTTGTGACTTGTCTGCCTTCAAAACCTCTAAAAGTTCTTCATATAACTTCACTGGCTTTTGCCTTTTGTACACCATACCACTGTCTCTTTCTTTGATGGCAATATCCTCAGGGACAGAAAAATGATTAATTTTTTTTAAATTTAATTTAATTTATTAACTTTGCCAAATAGTCTTAACAGTTATTACAAATTGTTGCTCTTCACAATCTTGGAGGTCCTGGTTACCAGGAAAGGGAAGGTCGCATTTGTGAGGAGACATTGCTC